TCCCATATGGCTAACCATGGTTCAAGTCCTGGACCTGGTGGTTCGCTTTCTCTCTCTGTCCCTCTCTGGTCAAATAAATAAATAAAGTAAAATAAAATAATTACTAAAAAAAGAGAAAAGAATCCATCTTACGTGTTTATCTGGCTACCCAGGTGGAAATGAAAGATGCAATAGACATACATAAATGTAATTGAAAATCTTAGCTTGAACTTCAGAGAAATCGAAAATCTTCTAAGTGTCCTAAGTGGGTGTCTGCACATAACAATGTCAAGTATTTGTTTAATACATAAAAAAAGATCAGTCATTCAAAAAACCAAGAACACTTGCCTTTTATGCGAATGGGCACCATCCAGTTTTCTGGGAGCGTGGCAGGGACAAACAGCAGAAGCAGGGGGTTCTGTTTTCTCTATGCCTTTCCTTAGAGAGTGTGACAGGTGTTCTTCTCCTGCTACCTGTGTATTTGCCCACTCCATTCTTGCTTCATGGCTTGGCCTTTGACTGTCTTTGGTTCCCTCTAGTGCTTGGCTCCTGTGCCTCTCTGGACAACCGGTAAGTCCTTTCACTTTCGGAGTCTGGAATTATACCAGTAGCTGCCTCAGAAGGCTTGGGCCTCTGGTCTTGGACTGAGAATTGTACCATGGACTTCCCTGGATTTGAGTCTTTAGGCTACTTCTCCAGTCTGTAAATGAACTGTTGTGAACTTCTCTACCTGTGATCATGTGAGGTAGTTCCCATGATAAATCTCCTCTTTCATATATATTTATTCTGTTGGTTCCGTTTCTTTGGAGAACGCTGACCCATGCAAATCACTTTTGCCTCCTAGAAATCCTATCATTACTGAAGAATTGAAAGTTCAACACATGGTATCAACCCAAATGTCCTAGAATACATGAATGGATTGCATAAGTGTGGCACATATATACTACGGACACTACTCAGCCATAAAAAACAAAGAGACCCTGGCATTTGATAGAAAGTGGGTGAATATAGAAGACTTAATGCTGAGTGAAGCAAGTCAGACTATGGAAGAGAAGCATTGGATGTCCCCACTTAATATATACTGAATGTCTGCACTCTATGACAGAAACTGAAAAATTAGAAGGTATGTAGAGCAACTGTAGATACAAGAGACTATGTGAGGGTGGGGAGGAGGTAGGAGGGAGGGAATCAAAGAAGGAAGAAGGAAGCAAACTATTTAATGAACACAAATGAAAAATTATCTGCTGATGATAATGTATATGATATTATCTTTGACTGGACTAATATACAGGGTATTTTTGCGTGGTAAATCCAGTTTGTATGCTGTAAAGATGTATAGTGATTGAACATAAAAAATAAGAAAAAATAAAAAGAGAGAGAGAGAGAGAGAGAGAGGGAGAGAGAGAGAGAGAGTGTTTTGCTATGGGGATGGTGCAATGGCTGAAAAAGATAGAGACAGAAAGTGAGAAATCACCCCTGGGGGGATGGCCACAGTGCAATCCCTTCTCCATTCTCTTCTTGGGATTTTGGGCACATGCACACACACGTCCAGCGTGAATTTTAAGCTGCCAGGTCTGGGACTCAAACTGTGGTGGACTACATAGGAGTCCAGCAACACGACCATTGCACCACCCACTAGCCCTAGAGATTGGTATTCTTGAGCTCAGGTGCCAACGGTATGGGTCGTTACTCACGCAGATGCCCTTGGGATCTCATGCTCATCTAGGATCTTCCTTGTTGACATGATTCCTACTATTCATGATCCCTGCCAACTCACCTGGGGGGCTTAGGTGAAGCCTGGGGCTGATACAGAAACAGAACCAATCTCCTCCTTCTCTGTTTCTCATAGAAGAATAAGAACAGAACCTTCTCAAAGAAATGACCTACCGGAGGAATGAGATCCTCCAGCAATTAAAGCAGGGGGGAAAAAGAACCTAAAAGTGAGTGGAGGCATGGAAGGCCCAGATTGAGGAAGCAGGGTTCCTCATCATAACCAATATCCGGTGGGACATCCCTACATAGAAGGGGGACAGCTCCCATAGAAAGGCCACCAAAGACAGGGACCTGCTCTGCACTGGCTGAGTTATTCTTGTCATTAGGCTTGAGGACTAGATCCCAGGCTTCTTGTTCAATCATGGCCTTTTGCCTTGCTTGCAAATCTCCTGGGATCATTGTCCAAAATGCAGTTTCTTGGCCCTTATTGCCAGAGGTTTTTAACAAGTATTCCAGTGAATGTGAAAGTCATGATCTTCAACTCTTTTTCTAGAAATAACTGGGAGCCTTCTCTGCTGCATATTCTTTTATGTCATCAACCAGCACTACAATGGTTAATGTTGCCTGTCTATACATGAGGAGAACAGGCTTGAGAAGGGTAATGAAATTCTCTATTTCTGCATCCTTGGTATGTGTGGAGCTGGCATTTAAATCTTAGATAACTTCTGCTGAAGCTATGGTTTACCCCTCTATTTTTTAAAGCTTTTTTTTTTTTTTCCCAGAGAGAAAGACATGGAGACAGAGAGACAGGCAGAGTCACCATGCTGTGATCCATCTCCACTCTCAGCTAGCCTGGATCACAGGTACATGCATGGGTACCTGGTATGCTCAGGGAGGTCCTGGGAGGTGAATCCAGTACCTTCACATGTGAGTCCAATTGTGCCAGCCCTGAACCTGCACCGGGACCCATTGCTGTGCTTTTATTGCTTCACCACTGAGCAAGGGTAGGATGTGGTTGGAAAGGTGGTAGGGAACGGAAGGCACTGGTAGACGTGAGTTATCCCTTGTGACTGTTGCTTACTCATTTGACAATATGTATTGGACCCTTTAAATGGCAGGCTCTTGAGGAGGAAATGGGGACATAAATGAAGAAGCAGTCGTCCCTGTTCTCAAGAAGCTCACCTCTGGCGCGGCAACATGATGTTTTATAGATAATTACATGAGTACATTTTATTTGTGGTTATGATAAGTATTAATTTGGTCCCTTTGTGTTTCTGATCCCATCATATCAGTCAGTGACTGAAAACTGACTATACATAGGAGGCCTATAGCACTGTGGTAAAAATTTTCTTCAGGAAAGATCCTTCTGATATTTTTGTTTTAAAACTGGAAATAGGCATGTTTGATCCAATGTCTTCTGAAGACAGGATGTCAGTTCTTGGAGGTGATCAGGGGCTTTAGACAGGGAAGATCAGGCCAAGGCTTGTGAGGTGTCTCTGCTGCCACCTAGTGGTGAGGAACTTGGAAAAATCTTTTGGTCTTTTTGGGCATGGGTTTCCTCATTAATAGTTTAAGGTTTAATGGTAAGTGAAATAACCCCACTGTGAAAGGCAAACACTGTATGTCCCCTCTCTATACTGAATGTTGAACTCTATGGAAGAAAAGAAGATATTCAAAGACAAAAAGGCAGAGAGAACAATGTACAATAGATACCAGAGACTGTAGGGGAGGGAGGTGGAGGGTGGCTGGTGGGAGGGAGGGGCTCAGGAAGAAGAAGAATTTGAGGTTCTTTGTTGATAATGTGTATTTGGTGATATTCTTAATTTGACTATCATACATTGCACACGTGCTTGGACAAGCCATACCACATACCATAAAAATGTAAATAAGAATTATAAAATAAAATAAAATCTTGAGAATAGTTTAAGGTCTGCTACTGCACTTCTCTGAGAGTTCTTTCTACCCAGTTTCCCTATGTGCATGAGGATGGAGAGTGTTCTGATGTGCCCTGGAACTGCAGCCGAGCCCTGGCTTTGGTCCTTATAGTATTTGTTCCCTGCAGGAGCCAGAACCGAGTCTATATCCTGAGAACCCAGAACCAAGGGTGCAGATGAAACCACATAGAGAAGGGGGTTAAGAGGTATTGATGTCTAACATGAATTAGGAGTAAGGAAAAGCAACAGCTGTCCCAGTGAGAGAATAAGCCAACTTAAAAATGTAAGGCAGTTTGCCAGCCAGATTGCATGGCGGTTAAGATGGTTGGATCTCACATGGCCGACTGCACAGTTCAAGTCCTGGACCTGGCATCTTGGACAATACACCAGGTATGTGTGCATGCATGTCCAAAATCCCAAGAGGAGAATGGAAAGGAAGGGATTGTGACATGGCTATCCATTTCAGGGGTGATTTCTTTCTATCTCTCCATCTCTGTCTTTCTCTCTGGTGAATGCATCTGCTCGATAAGAAAAATTTTAAAAAATAAATAAAAGTAAGGCAGCAAGAATAATTTTGAGACAACAGGACAGAAGTAATTTTTCAACACTGGGGCTGGCAGGTGGCATGGTGGTTAAAGGTGCTAGACTCTCATATGGCTGATCATGGTTAAAGTCCAGGACTTGGCGGCTTGCTTTTTCTCT